TCGCTGACCTCAGAGGGCCACGTGGCCGACCACATGAGCATCTGCCGGTCGTGGCGAGTGGCGCGGATGATCTGCACACACACACACACACACACACAGACCACACGAGATGAGATTAGATGAGGTGAGGCTGTCCCTGTTTGCCTGCCATCCTGCCTGAGCTGGTTGGTCACCTGTCCGATCTGTCGCTCGAATCCTCCCTGGCACAGCCGGTCGGCCTCGTCCAGGACGATGAACGTCGTACGGTTGAAACGCACCTTCCCCTTCTGCACACACACAGACACAACACAGACACCACACACACCACACACCGTGTACCAGAGAGAATGAAGGCCCATGTGGGTGGTGTGCGGGCGTCCATCCATCCGTCCGTACCACGAGCAGGTCCATGATGCGGCCGGCGGTGGCGATGCAGATCTCCTTGGGCGGCGAGAAGAGGTCGAACGACATGGAGCGGTCGCCGCCGATGCACTTGACGGCGCGCAGGCCGCTGTGAAGGAACTTCTGGCACTCCTCGTAGATCTGCTGCGACAACTCACTGCAGCGCACACAACACATCAACACATCCATCCTCCGTGCACTGGGGTGGGAGTGGTGGTGTGTGTGAGAGGTGAGAGTGCACTGACCCACCCACCGTGTGGGCGAGAGAATGAGCGCGATGGGCCCGTCGCCTTGCTTGAGCTCCGGCTGGGCTATGCAGTGCGCCATGCACGGCAGAAGGTACGCCAACGTCTTGCCAGAACCTGCCACACACACACACACACACGAGACACGAGACACGAGCACAGCAACACCGTTCACTCAACCAGCACCGCTACCTCTATGTGTCTGTGTCTGTGTGTGTGTGTGCGTACCAGTCTGTGCGATGCCGACCATGTCGCGGCCGCCGAGTGCGACGGGCCACCCCTGCATCTGAATGGGCCGCGGTTGGCCCCAGCCACGGTCCTCTACGATCTGTGTGATCTTGACTGCACAAAACACAACAGATCACATCACATCACACACATGACACTGTGTGGTTTGTGTCTTGTGGTTGGTGGTGGTTCTGAGTGACGTGACAGGTAGGCACCACCCTACCGTTGAAGCCTGCCTCTTGGAAGGTCCGAACGGGCCTGGGGCAGGGCTGGCCCTTCACATCCAAAATGACAATGTGCCTGTGTGTGAACAGGTAGACGGACGGGGTGATGAGATGAAGGGGTGTGTGTGGTGTGTTGGGTGTGTTGCTCACTCACTCGTCATTGCGTAGTTTGGTGACGTCCTGGTCCGTCATGGCGCTGACATCGGGATGCACCTGAGGAGGGAGAGGACACACACACACACACACGCATGCGGAGAAGGAAGAGGCATACACACATGGACGCAATGAAACCTCTCTGTCTGACTGTCTGTCTGTCTGTCTGTGCGTAGACGTGTGTGTGTGTGTGTGTGTGTGAGGTGAGCCTACTTTGTAGAAGTCCTTGACGAATTTGTTGGAGTCCTGCCAGCCCTGGATCTTCTCGGGCGTGCAGCCCGCCAACATCTGACACACACACACAGACACACGAGGTTCACATCACACCACACCACACATGGATCATGACACACACCGATTGGTTTACCTTGTCAAACTGCTCCTCCATGTCGTCCCAGTTGAAAGAATCCTGAACACACACACAGACACACACACACATGGACGATGGATGGACACAGCACCGCCCGCCACAGATACCCCGCCCCCTCCCTCTATATATCTTCCTTAACACGCCTACGTTCTTGGCCTCGCCACCGCCCTCCTCGGCCCCACTGGCAGCCTCACCGCCCCATCCCCCACCGCCACCACTAGGAGAGCTACCGCCGCCCCAACCTCCTCCTCCACCCCCTCCGCCAGATCCCCATCCCCCACCGCCCCCACCACCAGACGAGTTGCCCCCTGCGCCCCATCCGCCGCTCGACGACGAGGCCGCAGCTGCCGCAGCCGCCCCCGCACCTCCAGCCGACGAAGAGCCCCAACCGTCGCCCCCACCGCCCGATGCTGGTTTGGGCTGAGGTTTGGAAGCGGGTTTGCTGGGGCCGCCGCCACCGCCTCCCCCCCACTCGTCCTCCTCGTCCTCATCCTCTGGCTGTGGCTGTGCGATGGAGGGGGTGGGCATGGGTGGCTTCTGTGTCTGTGAGGGTGCGGGTGCAGCGGGCTTCTTGGTCTGAGTGGCGGATGAATTGCCCCAGTCGTCCTCCTCGTCACTGTCATGATTGGCAGGTGCAGGTGCAGGTGCAGGTGCGCGTGCGGGGGCCGGAGCAGGCGCAGCGGCCTTGGCGACCGTCGGGGGTGCCTTGAGAGCCTGAATGAATGAATGAACCAGCCAACCAACACCGTCTCAATATGTATGTGATATGATTGATGTGTGGTGTGGTTTGGTGTGGTCTCACCGCGGGAGCGCCGCTGCCCCAGTCGTCGTCATCGTCCTCAGTGGCCGGTGCCGGCTGCTCTGACGGCTGCTGCTGACGGGGCTGCTGCTGCTGCCGACCTCCAGCCGCAGACGGCTTCTGACCACACACACACACACACGCCACACACGCCACACAGCCAGCAACCAACACACGTGTCATCACACGGGTGCCCATCCCATCCCATCCGTCCGTCTGTCTGAGTGTGGTGCCCTGCCCACGTTGGCCGCCGGCTGTGTGTTGCCTGAGCCCCAGTCGTCGTCCGACTCATCGTCACCATTCTTGCTCATCATCACGATGATCTCCTGCGGCTGGGAGGGCACGAACGGTGCGATCTTGGGCATCGGCACATCCTTGAGCGGCTCCTCCTTGGCAGTGGGGATGTGGATGTCGGTGTCCTTGGCAGTGCTGACCATGGCGACGGCGGGGGCGCCGCTGGACTTCTCGGGCGACTCGGGGTCGTTGACCACACTGGGGTCCTCTGCAACACTCGCGTCTGATGCATACATAGCACAGCACATGCAGGGAAAGGGTTTGGTGAGGGGTGTGGTGTGGTGTGGTGTGGTGGGTTGAGAGTGTGGTGACCAGCGAGTCGCGTACGTAACGTACCCGCGGCAGCAGGGGCCATCTTGGTGGCGTCTGTGTTGTCTTTGTCTTTGTCCTTGGCCTCCTCCTCAACACACACACTCTCAACGCTCTCAATGCTACCGGCTACTGAACCACACACACAGACATCCACAGAGCACAGAACGGCACAGCACAGCACAGCACATGAGTGACTGAGTGAGTGCCCCATCCGTCCCATCTCCTTCGTGTTGGCTGGCTGTGGGTGTTTCCTTGTTGTGTGTTACCTTTGTTGTCCTCATCCTGCTGCTGCTGCTGCTGCTCTGTGCGATTCTCCCCCTCCCCCTCCTCGCCCTTCTGACCCTCAGCCGCGCCCTCCTGACCACACACGCCCACACCCTCACCCTCTCCCTCACCCAATCCGTCAACTCCAACACCAACACACACGTCAGGGGGCGACACGTGGTCACCGCCCTCGCCACATGCAACAGCCCCCTCCTCCCCCTCAGCCCCCTCCCCGCCCTTGGCCTCGTCCTTGGCCTCGCCCTTGGCCACGTCGTCAGCTGTGTGGCCCTTGTCGATGTGGTCATCGACCGTCTCTGCGCCCTGTGCGGCTTTCGTCACGACGGGCGAGGCGGGTGGGCTTGCGCTCTCGATGAACTGCTCGTGCTGCTTGGCCATGGCCTCCACGGTGCCCTCGGGGGGGCGTGAGGGGGGCTGGGGGGGTATGGTGCGCTCGAGGGCGTCATTGCTGTGGTCGGGTGTCTGGAACTCCTGCTGCTGCTGCTGCTGCTGCTGCTGTTGGTCGGCCTGCTGTCCTCCGCCGTCACCATCAGGTGTCGTGAACTCCTGATGGGGTTGGTTGCTGTCCTCTGGCTGGACGGCCGGTGACTCCTCCTCCAACACAGCGGCACCAGCTGCACACAGGCAGACACACAGAGAGGGGGGGAGGACGGGAAACGTGTTGCAGAGGGTTGATATGGTGTTGTGTGATGGTGTAGTGGTGTGGAGGGGTGTGCGGCGGTGGTGGCGAGGCCTCTCTGACGTGTTGCTGACCCCAACGCGGTGGGGTGCGACCCCTCTGACCACGTGTGTGTGTGTGCGCTGGTCTACACCCCCTCCCCCTCCCTCCGCTCACCGGGCTGCTCGTGTGGTTTGCTCTCGGTGTTGGGGTCCTTCTGCTGCTGGTCTTGGGTGCCGTCGTTGCCCTCTCCCTGCTGGTCTCCGTCGACGGCACCGCCCTCCTGATGCTCGGTGGTGGTGATGTGGCCGTTCTCGGCTGTCGGCTGGTGTTGCTGCGCCTCAGGGGAGTCGCCACCGTCTTGACCGACAGGGGAGGGGTCTGCACACACGCGCACCACACCCCCCCACACGCAGAACACCATGCTGGACGCGAGACACGTGTGGCGTATGGTGCGGTGTGTGGAGGTGTGTTTTGGCTGTGTGGGGGTGTGCGGTGGTGTGTGGTGTCGGCGCTAGAGGGTGTGTGATGAGATGCCGGGCTGGCGTGGACGGGGGGAGGTGTCTTGGTGTGTGCCCTTGCCACCCGTGCCCGTCTCCATACCTTGCTCGCCGGATTCGTGGTCTGACATGGTGCGCAGCCTGTCGGGAAGGCCCTCGCCGTGACCGCCTAGCTCAGTGCTCCTCGGGAAACCTCAACACGTCGCCAACCTGGACAGACATGCGCACCAAACACACACATGCGCCAAATGCATGAGTTTCCCGGCGAGGATCTCCCCTCCTCGCCCTCGCACGTGCGCCCCTGACCCACTGCGTCTCTCCCTACACGCCTGGCTCCCCGAACGGATGGATCAGCAGAGCCCTGTCTGCGCGATGTGCGATGCACCCACCTGGCTTGGCCTGAGGAGGTGCGTGAGGGCTACCCGTCGCTAAGCCTAGGCAGCCTGGAGCACTGCGAGCACGGGAAAGGTCTGAGGTAGCGGTTTGAAACCTGCGAGCCTGCTCGGTCTTCAAACCCTACCCTTAACCCTATGAAACCCTTGTGCCCAGACCCCAACTTGTCAAAAAGCAGAGGACGGGAATTGGCCTCATGCAGTGAAGATCTGCCTTGCGTGGAGCTCGTATCCGGGGGAAAAGGCGAATAACCGCCACATCCGCAAGCTCATCTCGCCTCGAGGAGTCCCGAAGTGATGATGAAGGCGTCTGTGTCGTCCCTCACGCGCTGTACAGCCCTTCGCCAGCACCTCACCATGCTTCGATGCGCGCTTGTCCGTCCCGCCCAATCATCGCTTGCCACAGCAGCTCTCCAGGCATCCCAAGCGGCGTTCGTCCGTCCGATCAGCACATCCCCCTCCCTTAGGCAGTCGGCTGCAGCTGCCCAGGACTCGTCAACGACTGGTGCTCAGGGGGACAGTGATCTGCCGCCCTTCCCTCCCCCTCTCTATGACGGCGAGACAGAGGTGCTCACACCTGAGCAGCAGAAGCAGAAGGCGGAGCTCATCAAGGAGCTCACGCGGCGGCTGAGCGGCCCCCTGGCCGACGAGGAGGGCAATGTCCCGACCGGCAAGGACCGCCCCACGGCCATCGAGGTCGACGGCCCCTCCCACTTCTACGCCAACAGCCACAGGTACACTGCCTACACGAAGCTCAAGCACCGGCTGCTGACGCGCATGGGCTACCGAGTGCTGCACGTGCCGTACTTCGAGTGGCGTCGGCTGCGGGGTCAGAAGGAGAGGGAGGAGTATATGATACGGAAGCTCAAGGAGGAGCCGACCGAGTGGCTGGACCCCGAGGACGAGCAGTACTACACACAGCGCCTCACTGAGACGCTCGGGCAGAAGACCGCAGAGCTGGTGAGTGAGGACACACACGCACACATACACAGAGCATACAGAGGACACAGAGAGGGAGGGGATCAATCCATCCATCCATCCATCGATGGATGCTGCATTTCCGGATGCTGCATTTCCCCTTTTCTACTGGTGTGTTGGTTTTGCGTTTCAGACTCCTGAGCAAAGGGCGAATATAACCCCTCCGTCTGGCCCAGCCCCCACCACGCCCGCCTCCCCACCGCCTCCCCCCCCTCCCCAAGGCGTGCAGCACCAGCACCACCAGCAGCAGCAGCAGCAGCCTGCGATGCCGCCACCGCCCACGATGCAGTCATCCTCATTCTCTCCGCCACCGCCTCCACCATCTATGGGCGACATGCCACCACCGAGAGGCCCGGCTCCAGTGCGGCCGCCAGTGGCGCCAAATACAGCTGCGGGTCAGATGCCGCCACCGCCACAGCAGCCATACATGGGGATGGGCCGGCCCCCACCACGGCCACAGATGGGCCAGCGGCCGCAGGGGGGAATGCCTTCTCCTCCTCAAGGTGGGAATGGGCATGCGCACACGAAACAGATGGCTGTCTGCTGATCACGTGTCTGTCTGTCTGTCAGGTATGCGTCCTCCTCCCCCCGCTGGCTCAGGTCCGATGCGCCCGCAGATGACGGGCATGCCCCCTCCACCGCCACCTGGCGGCATGGGTATGGGTGCACCGCCACCACCGAGACCCAATATGGCACCACATCAACAAGGTGAGAGAAGGGCATCAGGTGCTGCTGTGCTGGATGACCTGACCTGACTCGCCGTATATCGTATCTATCTGCATGCATTTGTATATCATGTGTGTGGTGTGTTTGCTCAGGCATGGGTGCGCCTTCGATGCCTCGGCCTCCCTCATCGCCCTTCCCACGCCCGCCGGTAAGAGACTACGACCGCCGGTTGTGCACATGCATTAATTAAGGAGTCGAGGGGCCCTTCTCGTGGTTGCCTTTGCTTGTTGTTTCGTCAGGGTATGAGTTTCCAAGGCCGACCTCCCCCTCCCCCGCCCCCCTCAGCCCCCCCACCACCAGCCCCAGACAGCGCCGAGCCACAGACCAGTGGAGAGCAGCAGGGTGGGTCCGCAACCAACTGACTGGGACAGACAGGAGACGATCTGACTAACTGACAATGTGCCAAGACTGCTGTTTCGCCTGCCCTGTTCGGGCATGTGTGTGGCCCTGCGGCTCTCTGAGGAATGTGGGTTAGCGGGGCTTGGATGCATGGGGGAAACTGTGTGCATGACACATGAACTGTTGAGCCAGGATGGCGTGGCGTGGCGTGTCCAGAGTGCGAGTGAGGCGGCTCTGGATGGATTTCTGAGAGGCAGGGGACGCGCAGAATCTTCCACTGAGCATTCGGAAGATTCGTTGCGTCTTGCTGTCGGTGAGGGAGCCATTCAGAGTCGAATCATGCGCACTTTGCACGTACTGATGGATGGATGGATGAGCATGAAGTACCTGTGAATGATCGCATGGGTTGTACTGTCGCCAAGTGAGTTTCTTTTCCCTACTACAGTATCGGTCCTCATTTCGAAGCGCCTAGCAGACCGGGTCTGGTGGTAGTTTCTGTAGACCTAAGTGTCCACTGACCTGTTGGACATGCTGGTCTGAGATGCTGTCAGGGACTGCTTGCAGACGCTTCGAAATGACGCCCATGTGCTGTGCATTGGCTGACTGGTTGATTGTGTTGCCGCCAATGGCAGACAGAGGAGAGGTGCTAAGGGGGAGGGGAGACACAGCAGTTGGGTGACACACATGTGCGTGCAAGAGATGTTTCAATGGCCATGACAGACAGCCACACAGAAAAATACATGCATCCGCCCATGCCATGCAGCTTCACTGTCCTGTCCGCCTCACCCTCAGCCATCTGACCACAGACGTCACTGCAGCAATCACGTGATGCTGCTGTGCAGACACCCAATGTTGACTCTGACCCGTCAAACCACCAGCACCAGCACCAGCACCAGCAAACACTCCCCCCTCACCGCCCAGCCCCAACCTCAGCAGCCTGCTGGTTCCCGACGACCACCGCTGCCGCCCCCCAACCATCAGCAGCAAAAAGTAGAGGAACAGGGTGAGCAGCACCAAGAGCATCTTGAGCTTCTGCCGCCTGTCCATCCGGCGTTGGGGCCGACGCCTGAAAGTCACCAGAACTGCCCGCGACGCTTCGGGAAGGGCGAGAAGCGTCTCTGATGGTGCGGGTGAGTGACACCCCGGCTGATGACGCCGGAAAGGGCCCGGCGAGGAGGCGGTGGAAGATGACGCTTGGTGGCCATGGTGGATGTGTGAAGGCAGCGGGATGGAGAGAGCCACGCCGAGGCCACTCAGATCAAGACAGGCCGACCGGATTATGGGAGCGTTGCTGAGGGACTGACTCACTTCAGCCAGCAGGCCGTCTTCACTGCGGGAGAGGATGCAGTCCGTCGAGCCGCTCCCGCCCGTCTCTATGGTCCCCTGGCGGGTGGGCTGGTCCGCGAGAGATGTGGCCTCTTTGGCATCATCGCACCTCGACACGTCGCTTCTGCTCTGCACCAGCTGCCAGCCGTCTTCGGTCTCCTCTTCATCGACTTCGTCTACTTGGGGGTGCGGCTGGGGGATGTCAGGCTTGGTCAGTTCGTCGAGCATATCGATGAGCGAGGGGTTGGAGCACACCTCATGCACGAACCAGTCAGCGCGAATGCGGAACCCACGCATCGTGGGAAAGCGAGGCCACCAACGCATCACTCTGAGGTCAGGAGGGCTCAGCCTCTATGCTCAGCCTGAGGGAATCCTTTGCAAAAAGGCCTTTCTTCTGCTCTGTGGCTGCAGTGCTGCAAAGGCCGCCGCAGCCTGAGGAGTCCTGGAAGAAGGGAAGCTACCGGAGACGGGAGTTGAGACGCCTGCCAGTGGGGGCCCAGAAACGGGATCGATGCATGCATCGAAGTGGGGCGGCAGGGGATATATTCCTTCTCGAGGAGGACATGCTCTGCATTGCAATGATCCCCCGTCTGAGGACTGAGTCAAGACCCCGAGCCCCACTTCCGTGACGGTCTTCTTGATCACGAAGGCATTGCCGGCGGGCATCTTCTAGGCTCTGCCAGCCTACGTGCCCCCCTGCCTAAGCTATCGCTATCATGTCGCGTCGAAGCGGCGCCATGCAGTGGAGCTCCTCTCTCTCTTCATCCGCTGCAGCACGCCCCCATCGTTCAGTTGCGGTTGCGGCCGTGACGGATTCCGAGAAGGAGGGCTCGCCCGGCTACCAGCGGACCGTGTGGCGCCCCGTCAGCAAGGGCGGCAGCAAAGCCGACCTCTCCACCTGCACCCCGTCATCGGATGCGAGCAACCTCTCGTCGTGCTTCCTGGGTTACAGTTTTGGTTCGGTCGCGGGCAAGGTTGCTGCTGCTGGCGTTGCTGGGGCTGGTGGGGCTGGTGATGAGTCAGGCGAGCCTGATTTGACAGAGGTGGAGAGGGAGAGTGTGAGTGAGGCTGTGGTGTGTCGGCTGCTGAGCGACGTGGTCAAGGCCACCAGGAGCGCCGCTGAGGACACCGAGGTGTCGCCCTTCCACTCGCAGTGCGCCCCCAACATCCTCATTGCAGAGTATGTCAGCAAGCGCCTCCTCAGGGTCAGCCGCACACACACATCCAGCCATCCATTCATTTGTCTCCTCGTTGGTGTGCTGTGCTGTGGATCGGCCAACGCATGCAGCAAATGGAGCTGAGAACGAATTTCTTTGTGGTTGCGTCGATTTTGATCCAGCGTGTGTTGTGCGCGTCGACGAGGGTGGACTCGGGCGGGCTGGGGCCGTGCGAGTTCAACGTCCTCACCGCCCACCGGCTGGCCATCACCGCTGCGGCAGTGACCAACAAGTTCTACTATGACAAACACTATGCACTCAAATACTGGGCGCGGGTGAATGAAGACACAAATGACATGGCTGACAGACACCCATGGGGAGGGAGGGAGAGAGGGAGGGAGGGGGGACAGGTGTGGATGGATGGATGGATGGATGGATGTGTGTGTGTGTGTGTGTCATCAGATTGGTGGTCTTGACGTGAAGGAGCTGTGCGATCTGGAGAGGCACTTCATCAACAAGCTCCAGTGGTCAATATCATATCCACATGGCATACACGTCACGTCTTACACACACATCACATCCTTGGCTGGCTTTTCTCCAATCCATCAGGCGTCTGAAGGTCTCGACCAAGGAGTACCTGAGGGTGTGTATCCCTCCCTCCAGACGCCACACACATTCTTTCGTCCATATCCAGCGAGACAGGAGACACCACACCACACACCATACCATCTCCGGTGTGTATTATGGTGTGCAGGCCGTGGATCAGTTTCGTTGCCGTGACGTCGGTGTGTTGATGGCCATGCCCTCCATCACCGACACCCCCTCCCCGCCCATCTGCCACCCACACCATCACCCCAGCAGCACGGGCAGCTCCATCCCTTCGCTCACAGCAAGCCCAACACCACTCGCAAACCAGCCCACGCCACTCGCCAGGTACGATACTTCCGGCAGCACAGAGACAGACACGAATCCCAGTCAACGTATATATTGTTGCCTTGTCTTGTCGTTGCAGGCAGGTTGGCGTGTTGTCGATTGCAGCAGGAGCTGCTGCTGCTGCGCCTGTGCACCGCACGGGTCACTATCAGGACGTCATCTGCCACTCACCGCCCTACGCCAAGAACAATCGTACCACCGACGTCGGGGCAACCCAGGACAGGTACCTGACGGCAGACCCACAATGCACTGTCAATCAAGGAAAGCCAAACAGGATCATTAAGTGTGTGTTTCTGCTGCATTCAGGCTGCCCTGGCTGTCCAGGCCCACTCTGGCGGCGAGTGGCGTTCAGATCGCCTCCTCGAGCACCGAGAGCTCCTTCGTGCAGGCGCCGCCCCTGCGACCCCAGGCTGCCGGCGCCGACAGCCTCGCTGCCCGATGCAAATCAGTCAAGGAACACACAAACACATTCGTAAGCTGGGGGGAACCAGAGAGACACGGAGACAGCTGAATGGTCTCTCTCCTTACTTAATCAGGCCCTCTTCCGTGATGCTCATCGGCCGTGCACCCCGCCGTTGGCGCCTCGCAGCCCCCCCGACTACCTCACGATGACCGCGCCCTCCAAGCAAGACCGACACCGGCCGTCTCTCGCGCCTGTCAAGGCTTCGACGCGTCGATATGCCAATTCCAGTGGAAGCACGAACGCCCGGGCGCCCGTCAGCAGTGGCGTCATTAGCTATCCTCTGCCCAGAGTGGGCGTCATCCACGAGAGCACCACTGCCGGTGCGTTCCCCCCTGTCGTCCGTCAGCCCCAGCCGTATGTGCGTCCCCACCCGCCCTCGCGTCAGCAGCAGCAGCAGCAGCAGCAGAGGCAGATGGAGGCGTTGCCGATGTTCCCCGACTTCATCAGTATCCAGACCAACAATGAGTGGGGGCTGGACACACACACCCGCCGTCCGACGGCTTCATTCAGGCAGGCCTCGGTCGAGAGGCGCGTCAGCGGCGGCAGGGTGCACCACGGCGGCCCGGTTGTGTACCCCACACACCAGCAGCAGCAGCAGCAGCAGGGGGCGGCGCACCGGTTGGGCGTGGCGGACCATTCGCAGAGCCAGGGAGGGCTTCCCGGCATCCAGACCAGGAGGGGAGGGCAGCGGGGGGCCTGGCCGAGGAGCATGATGTACTAGTCGGCTGCCGCCCCGGTCACCCCCGACTGTCGGAAAAATGATACGGATAGATAGTTAAAGTGCGTGGATGTGTTGATCCACGTGGGTGGGGTGTGTGTGCTCTGCGTGTGTGTGTGTGTGAGGGGCCTGACGAGAGAATGACGGCCTGACTAGCAAGCGTGGCAGCGACAGCAGCAGCAGACGCACCGAGCACCGAGCGAGAGGTGGTAGATACGGTAGATGAGTGGAATGAGGCGGGTGAGGTGAGGTGAGGTGCGGTGCCCTTCACGGACGACAAGTGAAAGATGCGTAGGCAGAGAGAGGGAGACACTGATTGAGCATCAAAACAGATATTCTGGAACGTTTCCTCACACCATTGATTTCCCATGATGCGTGTTGATGAGTCACCATCCATCCATCCATCCGTCCATCCACCCGTCCATCTTGGATGTCCTCATCCCTTCAAAACGACTCATCCATGTAAAGCCGACGACTGACTGTCCACTACACATCGCATCGCATGCCCACAGCTCGCTAATTAACTCACGCATTGCCCTTGCTTGCGGCCCCTCCCCCCGTGTGACACCCCTCGCCACACGTCTACCTGGGCGTCTCTCACTGACGCCAGCAGTGCCCCCCTCCCACCCGCCGTGAAGCCATACACCTTCAACACGATCTTCCTGAACACACACACAGGAGGAATACAACAAGAAAGTGATGCATCGCCTGCCTAAGGTGTCTTTGCAAGTGCGCGCCGTACCTCCCTTTGATGCCCGCAGGGTTTGCCTCGCACCTCAGGAGCTCGGTGTCCATCCCGAACTTGCTCCTGGCCAGCCGGACGAAGCGGGCGTCGCTCTTCCACCGCCGCTCCATGCCCAGCAGCACCACACACCGGGGGTTGGCGCGAAAGAAGGCGCTCACGGTCGTCAGCAGCGGCTCGTACAGCCGCGGCCAATACACGAGGTCGCTGCCCAGCAGCACGTCCACGTCGCCGAACGCCGACACGTCGGTGTCGCCCCACTCGCACGCCCTCGCCTCGATGTGCCCGCCTCGGTGCTGTATGAGCGACCGGTTGGCCTCGACAGTGGGCGAAGTGATGGCATCCACCACAGACGCGAGGTCCGTCACGCACACCGATGTGGCGCCGCTGATGGCTGCCGCCACGCCCACAAGACCGCACCCGCAGCCGAGCTCGACAATCCTCTTGTTCTGGACCAGAGTGCTGCGGACGGGATCTGACGAGATGAAGCGGATCAGGGCGTTGGACGCTCGCGGCCACAGGCGATAGCCGATACCGAGCGCTGGATTGGTCAAGAGCCGCACCCACACGCCGCCCCTCTCTGGCGCAGTGCAAGGTTGATCGTCGCCATCTCGCTGCTCCTCACGGACGAACCGCTGAGGCGAGGTGTTGGATGCTGGTGGGGAGGGAGGGGGCATTCCCGTGTGGCCGTTCGTATGCCCGTTGACCACCGGCCGCCCCCGATGGTCATTCAGATAGCGTGGCCGAGATGCGGGCTGCCTCCAGCCGTCGTCAGCAGAGTCCGGCAGCTGGAGCCTCACGTCGACAACCTCGTAGGCTCCCTCCTTGCCCGGCCATCTCATGTCCAACTCGGGAACAACAGGCACTGCCGCATCGCGCCTCAGCTCCTGCTCGCTGTCTGACGAATCAGAGAACCAATCATGCCTATCTTGCGGCGCTGTCGGCGCTTCAGGAGCGTCAGAGGGCAGCTCTTGTGTGGCCGCTTGAGGAGGGACGCAGGGGCATGCTGGAAGCCGACTCGGAGGTGACCCGCTGCAGCCATCGCTGTCGGAAGAGTCGCACGTCAGCCCGATGGAAGCGAACATCATGACACCATCTGAAGCCGATAAATGGCTGCACCTTTCGCCCGTTGCTTGGCGGACGCGCCTGCGACTTCTTCTTTCTTCCCCCCCTCCTCGGAACATTGCGAGCTGGAAGGCGATCGGAGGCGGAAGCTCCCCAAATTGCGCCATCGTACCATTCTCCAATCGTACGGTTGACAGAGAGCGCATGGGTAGATCAGCGAAAGAAAATGGAGAAAGATCCATGGAATTAAAGGTATGCAGGGCCTGACTTACGGATGTGCGTCCGTGTACACACGTACAAGTTCGGTTCTCTGCTCATCCAAGAGACTTCTATACCCTTTGTTTGTAGCGTGCTCCCGGTTCGATGACGAGTTGCATTGTTTGGCTCCTCCTAGTCGGCCTGGTCCTGCAGCTGCGGCCGTGGAGCATCTGCAATGCCGCTCACGTCGAATGGGATTCCCACCTGATTCAGCAGCTTCACAGCAACGACACCCAGCAGCAGCTGAGTGCGCTGAGATCTATCGGCAACGACATTGCCCAGAGCAGCAACCGGAACGCCACTGCTGCTCGGTATGCCGGAGATGTCCTACGGGCAATTCTTCGTCGGCTGGCGGGAGAGCCCGGGGACAGTTCGGTGCAGCGTCAAGCAGCGACTCTGCTGGAGACACTTATGACACATGGAGGCATCCGTCTCATCGACGGAGATGCCGTGCTGCTCGTCGTGCGGCTGCTGGACCACGAAAACCTGAGGGCAGAGCGAATTGCGACATCCATCCTAGCGGGGCAATGGGACTTGGGGAGGATGGGGCTCAACGTGATGGAGGCCTTGGCGAATTCTGGCGCAGTGGGGAAGCTCTCTCCTCTGCTCAGATCTGCCGACACAGAAGTCCGCAGCGATGCGGCCGACGCTCTGCGTGTTGTACTGACTGCTGTCAAAAGACTTGGTGGTGAGTGGGTCTCCAAAGACAGGACAGAAAAGCGGGCCCGCTGTTGGTCGTCTGTGCTGTTTGTCAGACAAGCGGGCCGACACATTACCTGCCAGTCTCGCAAGCTTCGTCGATGCGGGTTTGCTGCCGAACGCCATGGCAGCTCACCAAAACTGCAGCGTCAAGAAGCCAGATGCAGGGCCCCTGATGCTCGCTTCGTTCACTTGTGTCCTGCTCGTGTACACCGAAGACGTCGACAACGGCTATGTATGAGAATGGGGAGGGCGCTCTCAGCCATCAGTCTGTCTGTCTGTCTGTCTCCTTGTTTGTATGCATTGATTGTGCGTGCGTCAGTATGCCCACACTGTCGAACATGGATGTGTGGAGCTGAATTGTGAGGCTGTGGAGCACTCTCAGGGTGCACGACGCGGCACGGTCCTGATGAGTGCACTGATGTACTTTACGTGGATCCTTAGGTGAACAGGGAGATAACAATCTGCTTCGAACGAATGGCTTTGGTCCGTCTGTTTGTGTGTGTGGGCTTGGTGTAATGGCCGGTCAGAAGGAGTAGCCCTGCCTTGAGCAGGCGGGCCGCCAATATCCTCATGGCCAACGTGCGTATGAGGGTGCACAAACGCTCACCGACACATCATTGCTGTCCACTTTCTCTTGTTTCTGGCTGCAGGCCGGCTGTTTGGACGCCATCCGGCGGCTCAGAAAGCCGCCGCTCAACCGGGGTGATGACACTCATCGCATCACCGCAGCAGCTAAGAGCATCGTGGCGGATTTGTCACTGCATGTACAAATGCCCCTCCAAACTCCGCTGGATGATATTGCATGCATGAATGAATGCGGTGGCGAGTCTGTTGCCTTGTGTCCATCCATCAGGCCCGCGGCGTCTATAGTCTCCCCACGATCAACGACCTACGGAAGCTACAGGCCTACGGAAGCTACAGGATGCCTAGACGCCGTGAATTGGTACTGGGCGAGAACAGACGGTCACGGCAAGCAATTCCTTGGTGTCGTTGGTGTCTAATCCAGTTGTCGTCTCCCTGGGTGCCGCGCGTCGGTCTCTGTTTTGCCATCCTGCTGGGCCTCTTCGTGCTGTGGCAGCTGTTCCTCCAGCCATGGCGGCGGCGATGTGAGCGGCGGCTCGCAGAGCAGCATGGGAGAGACCTGCTGGCAGCAGAGGAGGCGGAGAAGAAGAGAGGGCGCAAGAAGGCAAGACAGCCCACTTCCTCCGCCCGCCGACGGACTGTCGTTTCTCAGCCATCCTCTCCTGCTGCTGGTGGTCGTGATGGTGGCGGTGATGCTGATGACGACGACGACGACAACGACAAAAGGCCTCTGTCGACTGCCTGTCAGACACCCCGTGAGCCGCTGTCAGATCGATCGAGCGGCATGACTGATAATCAGGACGATCGGCGAGAGGGGACGATGAATGCTGATGACGGCCAGTGGACAGCAGCAGCCCGCAGTCGGTCCAAGAAGGCCCGGAAGGGCGGTGCCCTCGGGCGCGGTCTATCGGCCGGCCAGACGCCGTGCGAGGCTCCATCAGTGGTGGCGACTACATGGAAGAGGTCCGCGGGCCGAGGACTGGTGCTGCCGCCGTCTGCATCGCCCCCTCCGCCCCGCTCGATGCAGCCCCTCACCTCCACAGCACAGCAGTATACCCATATCAGCACAAAGCAGCGGTAAGCGAGACACAGACGGGAGGGCGCGAGGGGACATCATGAGCCGTTGTGTGACCTTTCATGTAGTGATGTGTGGTCCTCGTCGGCGAGACCGCACAGAGGCCCTCCACCACTCGTCAAGTGTACCAAGTGAGGCTGCAGTGCAGTGGACAGGCGGCTCATCCATACCATTGGCAAATGTGGTATCCTCTCCTCGCCCCTCAGGTCTGTTTCACTCGGTGGCTGCCACGTGAGCGCCCACCGTGTTTCGGCGACAGGTGAGGCATCGAGGCGACACCAATGAGATCACAAAAAGGTCCGTGACATTGTGTGTCTCTGGCGGTCATGTCAGTTCACCTCCTGCATGCCCGCCGTCCAGCAGCTACGACGGAGCAGGGCGTCACCGGCAGCATCTGCACCACACCGTCAGACAGCAGAGTACGCAGGAAGCCAACACCCGTCAGACCCACAGAATCCGCCGGATCATCATGCTTCGTGTGCTATCTCATTCTGTCCATTCAGGTTCGGTCCGTCTGCTAACAACCAGCGCGAGAAGCATGACCCGGCTCGCCCCTCACCCTCACTCTCACCTCTGGCCGCCAACGCCAGCGCTGCCAGCAGCAGCAGTGTGGCCGTGGACTGTCTCATCTGTTTCGGCGAGCACGGCCCTGCGTCCGTGATGTACATCCCCTGCAGACACATGCACATCTGCACCAAGTGCTACGCCGACCGCAGGACCGCATGGCAGCAGAGCCTCCCCCGCATCAGGGCGGCGAATGCGAGGCGCGCCGAGGAGAACAAGGAGCGCATCAAGGAGGCCAGGGAGCCGCTGCCGATGCGGCCCGAGGAGTACCTGTGTGAGCAGTGCAAGACAGAGGTGGTGTTTGCGGGGTCGGTGGATGAGGTGGCCCGCTGGGCCGCCACCCCGTTTGTGGGACAGCCTGGCTGATGCATACATACGTAGCAGAGAGGGATTGATGTGATGGCTGGGGAGACGTAGGTGTGCATACTGGCTCTTAGTGTACAGCAAGTGGGGGCATGGGTATTGATGTGTGCCGGACGGACGATGGGAGGGCGGAGAGACGTCGCAAAGCCTCGTTCAGTGTTCATGACGCCTCCCTCGTGTGTCTTTGTCCAATACTCACTCGAACACACACAAATAAGTACGCCTCCCTCCCTCCCTCCCTTGCCGAATCATATATAACACCAGGCAGGCGTCCATCCATCCATCCACAAAACGAGTTACGCAAAGTCGTGATGGTGCACATGTTATGCATCCACACACACAAAACCACACCCTCCCTACACAGTGAGTGGCTAATTAATTAAGCCCACCTCCTCCCCTATCTGTCGGCTACCCTGCTACGCTACATGAATGCTACGCTGCTACGTTGCCCTCTCGGCCCCCTCGGCCATGTCACTCACGGTGTGATGCTGACGGATGCCGTCGTCGATATGGGTGACGTGTCCGCGGCCGGCGACAGGGACGGCCACTCGCTCATGCTGGTGGCCAGCTCAAAGGGCGACCTGAATAGACAGACACGCACATGACATGTACGGCCACCTTGCCATTCCCTCCCTCCCTGCTGTCGACTTACTGGTATTGGTTCTGCTTCATGGCGCTGCTCTCGTGCTCCCAACCCTCGTTGGGCATCTCGGGTGTGGTTTCCGGTTTCTGGAACATGTTCCACACCTCCTCCAGCTCGCTGAACGACTCGCCAACGGGCGGCGGGGGGAATGCGGGTGGTGGAGGGACGGAGGCCGGGGGGAAGGAGGGTGGGGGGAAGGAGGGTGGGGGGAAGGGCGGTGGACACAGCGATGGGTCTGCCGCTGCCACAACAGGGGCAGCCGCCACCACCGCCGCACGGCTGATGTTGTCGCCCTTCGGCTGCTTGCGACGTCTGGCTGCCGCAACCGCCGCAGGTTGGCCGATCGGCTGGACAAGTGCAGACGGGCCAGCACCACCAGCCTTCGTCGTGCCCTCTTGCTGCTGACAGGCCGACGCAGCAGCACCATCAGTGGAGGAGCTGGCTGCAGTGGGACTCTTGCCATCGCCGCCGTGGTGAGTCTTCTTGTGTCGTCCGCGTGACACGACCGTCCACTCGCCGGGGTCATCCTCGATCTCAGCTCCTGTCTGGTTGATGATGGCCTGTGTGGCCGTGTCGGGCTGCTTCTTCATCTTCCTGCCCTTCTTCTTTTTGCCGCTGCTGCTGTTGTTATTGCTGGTGGTGTTGTTGGTCTCTGTCCGCTCGACTGGCTGACGCGTGTCCTTGTTGTCAGCAAGCTGCTGGGACGTCTTGCAGAGACGGCGGAGGAGGGCAAGCAAGGCGACGATGGCGAAACAGGCGCAGGAGAGCCCCACAACCACCGTCATTGTTTTCTGCGGAATCAGATCAGGGGGAAGGATGAGTGTATTGTGTGTGCATGGGTGTGTCTGCTGTCCTTGCACGGCTTACTGGGTACGTGTTTGGACCGTCGCTGAGGATCTTTGGCATTCGGTGCAAAAATAGCAAGATGCACGTCACATGCATAGGATGGATCTTCGAAGATCCTGGCGGTGTGCACTGATGACTGCACTCTCGTACCTGCAGACTGTCCTCCTCCTCCTTCTTTCCTTGTCCACGTCACACATGCGAGCTCTCTCACCCCCTAGGGTGCTCCCTGAAACCGCTGCTTCTTGAAGCCGAGTGAATTAGATCTACGGGATCTGCTGCACGATGTGAGCCAAAGCCTGAATACAGGTATGGCCTACAGAGCCGTACGTACAGATCGTCAGACCATCTCTGCGTGCCACTCGGGTTGTTGACGTGTTGCTGCTGCGGCAGACATGGGCATTCGCGGCTTGTCGAAGGCGGTGCTGGCGAAAGCTGGTGTGTACGACGAGGTGGACCTGGTGGAGGAGGCCAAGAGGCGGCCACACGGCATCCTGCTGCTCGTCGACTTTTACGCACTCGTCAGCTTCATTCGTGAGACCGACCGGCACACTCACACAGCATACACACGGGCATGCACTCGCTTTATGGCTCTTGAGTTGATCCTTCTGTGTGCCCTGCCCTGCCCTGCTCGGTTAGATGAGCGCGTGGCGTCGCGCCAGTCGTCAGCCCACTCGCCCATGTCGCACCCGGCATACGCAGAGGCCGCCCTGGCCACATCCCGCTTGGTCTCCCAGCTGCTGGCCAGCCGCATCTATGTCGAATGCGTTGCCGACGGTGCCAAGGGCAGCGACCTTGACACCTTGGTGCACAAGGAGGGCGAGTGGCGCGAGAGGTTCGCCGCGCAGCACCAGGTGCTGAGCCGCCTGAGGAGGGCGCATGCTGACGGGACGGACGAGAGGGACGACAGCAGCGGGCAGGAGGATGATAACAATTGTGGCGCTGATGGTGGCGGTGGTGGTGACAAGATCATCGACTGGCTGGCTCGTCTGGGGCTGAAGCCGCCGCCCACCACCACCACCACCAGCAGCAGAATAATGGAGAATGGTCACGGCTTCCCTCAGCCATTCAGGCAGCCGTCGCCCGCCCCCCCTCGCTCTCACAGATCGTCAAAGTGGTCGGGTCTTCCGCTGCCGTGTCTGTTCTCCACGCAAGTGGAGGAGACCCTCAGGCAAGGAGAGGAGTCTATACTATAGTTACAGGCCTTCACTGACTGACGGACTCATTGGTCCCCAGCACACATACGGTATATCCACTCCACGTGTGTGTCCAGGCGGCTGGGCATACCGATCTTCGTGGTGCCTGGGGAGGCGGACAGGTCAGCACACAACATAACATCCCAAAACCTCCCACGGATGTGATGAGTGACGGTACTCTCCGTCTGCCCGTGTGTAGGTACCTGGGTGAGCGTCTGCGTGTTGAGCGCCAGCCGTTGGTGGACTACCACATCAGCCCCAGCGAGAGCAAGTCTGCCAAGGGGCGGCCCTTCACCTACGGCATTCTGGGCAACGACAGCGACTTCCTTGCGATGCGCGGCGGGGTCCTCCTGCCTTTTGACGAATTCGATGTCCGAGGGAACCTCCAAATCAACAAACAGGTACCTTCATGGCTGGGTGCAAGGGCAAATTTGATGTGCACGTGAGCTGCGTGTCAGGTTGGCCTTGGTTCTTCCGCCCATCGTTTGTCGCCTCTGAAGCGGCTGGTGGTTCACGTGTACCGCTCTGAGAGGGTGGCCCAGTACTTCCACCTGCAGCCAAGCGACCTCCCAGAACTCGCAATCATGCTCGGAAACGACTTCACCAAGTGACAACAGACCCACGCACAGACACAGCACTGTCCATCCAATGGCATATGGACACACACATCATGTGTGTGCAGGTCGTTTGTCGACTCCCACAAGCGTCGGGACGTCCCCTTTGCCGACGGCTCGCCCCACAAGATCGCCACCTTCCTCTCATCCATCCCGCGCGATGCGGACAGGCGTTGTCTCATCGAGGGTCACCCCGTCATCGAGCGGCTCCTCCACAACGACCCGCCCTTCCACGACGCTGTCCTCTACTCGAGGTACTTCTACGGCTGGGGGGACATCCCGCCCGTCATGAGCGGCCGCCAACGCCAGCGTCCGAGAGAGGAGACCGAGACCAAGGGCAGGAAGAGCAAGAGAAAGGCAGGGAGGAGATCGGCAAGGAGGGCGCGGAGAGAAGCGGAGAGAGGAAAGGAGAACGGTCCTGTCACCGTGCCGTCATCTCCCGCTGCCACAACGAGCCCAGCCAGCCGCCCGCTCGACCGTTGTCGCGAGCTGCTGCTGGTGCGGCGATCGCAGCTGCTCCGCGCTCTCGACTCCCCATCCCTGCTGACGGCTGTGTCGCTCGTCCGTCTGCCCTCCACCGCCCCCTTGCACCTGCGGGCGCTGTCGTCTGCACTGCGTGCGTCGAGTGAGTATGCGCGGCGTCGTGGCGGGGCGCGTTGTGTGGGCAGCGGACAGGAGGACGACGAGAGGGATGAGTTCAGCTGGGTGGGGCGGAAGGCGCATGAGGAGAAACTCGGGATCTACCTCGAATGGTGGGGG